ACAAACACCATAATACATCAAAGGTTTTCTGCGTCATCCGTGGAAAAACAATCTTGAATTTCTAGCATAGGGCAGTCTGTGGCATCATTGGTGAGAGAAGGGCAACTTCTCCAATTCTGAAGAACTCAAGTTTCGCAGCTGGTGTTTCCATCAGGCTAGCGCAGCAGAACGTCACCCCAGGCATATGTGAAGCATCTCATTGCTGCAAGAAAAAAAAAATAGAAGTGTGAGGTTAAACATGCCAGAATCAATTCATAACAATGAGTCACACACACTGCAGCAGCGCTTACATTCTAGGATGTCTACTGCAAAACGAAATGTGAAAAAAAGGAAGGTTCGGCCAAACGTTACTTGGCAAGCCATATAAATGCTGATGTGGTAGACGCTCTTCACATGATGTCTCAGACAGCAATATTCTGGAAGAAAATGTGCAGCACCTCAACAAGGCATATTTGTAGCAGTTAAAGATACCCTTAGGTACAGTTAACTTGTTTCCTATACACAGCTGAGTGACATTTCTATGAGCCCATTCACCAATGGGCATTCTAAATGAGGTCATGTGTGTGGCAAATAACACGTACTGTCCGCTCATGTTAAAATACTTATTTAGCTCGTGCACATAGTTGCTCTCGATTCTACTGTTCTATCATACGCTGCTGCGTCTTGAATTGTGCAATACCTGTAGGCACAAGCCAAGCATGCAAAGCCTGCTTGAAAGCAACCATTTGCAGAGGCTACATGATAATCTTCAGTATATTTCTTTGTACCTGACGCAAACGGCTGGACAAAACTATAGACAAATAAATGTAGACCGTGCTACCTTCAAAAAATGCTTTAAATTTAGAAAACTAGGGTGCATTCGTTCACTCGGTTGACGAGTCACAGCCACGAGATATGTAAACGAAGCAATATATCTTAAGGCATGCACAGATATTCTGATTCTTTGTTTGGCAGTGTCACCGATAGCTTGCCAATACATATATATTTGAGAGCAACAAGATGTGAAGCTTTCATTAGTTCAACGTCTTGTTGGTTCACAGCCAAACAGGTTACTGCTTGTTAGACAAATTGGAATAAGCACACCATGGTTTCCAAAAAAAAAAAAAGCATTATTAGAAGTTAGCTCCCGGTGTGAATGTCTGCCTATTTATTTTGTACTGCCTTCTACATGTGCCACAAAGACATTTGTTGAGGATGTGCTACCAGTCAAGCCAAGATCGCATACTTGGTCAATGTGATGGAAATACAAACATTAGAAACACTGCCACCTCTAGTAAGAGCATAACACTTCCGTATCTTGGACTAGCAAAGAGGTGCACAAGAAAGTTAAGCCCACTCTTGCGGAACTTTGAACGCGAATATTTCAGAGTGTGGGAGGTCAACATGCTGTGGCACTTTTAAACCCACGAAACATCTGCAGAAAACAGGGTAAAGGCAAGTCAAGAAACGCTGTTATGAAGGCCTGCGCATGGACAGCTTTGTGAATCTAGGCCCAAGTGTTATGCTTTGTGCAAGCCAAAATCCATGTAAATAGGGAAAGCATACTTTTAGGAGTACCAGCATAAACAAATCTTCGCAGTTGGCTTTTTAGTACAAACAGCAATCCCTGCAATGAAAACATAAACATTTTATCTTAACGGTAACAGTGTGAGCACACACACGGGCCAGCGGAGCCATGTCGAATTGTCAGTGCCAGTGTAACCATGTGGCATAATGAACTATTCTCTGGCCAACACATGCACAGTTTGCCCCTAAAAAGCGATGCTTTCATATACGTAGTACAAAAAGTCTGCACTTACCAAAATTCACTTGCTTTCTGCACTTTAGCATCGTTGGGAACATCTTTATCTGCAGTATAACCAAATTTGTGTCATATCCCTGAAAGAAAAGTAAAAGACATGCATCAAATATTGTTTCATTTGGTAGCAGTGAAGTCAGGTTAAGAACAGCCAAGTGGGAATCAGCCTAATTATGTGCATGCGGCAAATCCCAAACGGCGTTATTGAGGTTGTCGAAATTTTCGTCGATTGGTATTAACGTCGATATGTGACTTCAACGACATGCCAAGTTTTCACAGTGCATAAAGATTTCATGATGCAGAATAATGACAGCGCTAACGAGAACATACAGCATTTATGATTGTCTTTTACAATATTCAGTTTTGCTAAGGTTTTGTATCACTAAAGAAATCTGAAAGATTTGGGTCATTCCTCCTCCAATTGTTCTGTCAATATGTAAACTGCTCGCTTGATGGTGCGCTTATAGAATAGTACGTTCAGCGCAGAGGTGAAGCAAGTGACGCAGTGAAGTGGGCAGATTTTTTTTTTTTTAGGCGTGCGGGGAGGGGGGGGGGGGGTCCGCTTATCTGAATAGGCCGGGCAAGCGAATATGGTCGTCAATTTAGGCTCCCTACGCCCGGCCTAAAAAAATTCTGTGCACAACCGCCTGGCTATGCCAGTGAAGTGATGCGACAATGATTTGTTCACTTACTGATTTACATACACTTTACATCTCTAAAAAATGCGGCCCAAGGCCCCAACACTCAGCCGTTAACATTACATAAAGCCAATGGTAGAAAAGTGCCAGTATGAATGCAGCTACAACCCCGCCCCAATGTTTTTTTCAAGCGCAGTAGTGTTGCGGAAATGAACTTTTAACTGCAAAAGTACACTGGCACTGCAGTGGTGACAGGGGAAGCAAGAGGGTATGCAGGCGGTAATAGAGGTAATTTAGTCCGATACGGCTAGCAATGGATACGGTGAATAAGAGCAAATCATTTCTCTTTCAATAGCGCAACCACTCAACAATGTATTGTAAGAGCATTAAATGTTGCTGGAAATGCCACTCACCTGCACGCTGATGCATGCACAGTCCTTTGTCCGACGAGCGAACAGGCTTGCAGATAGCTGAAGACGTGTTTACGATGTGTTTGTTCCACCCAGCAGCAAAATCCACAACTACTTCGCGCTCCATAAAGATAAATATACACTAACCTTCATCACGAATAAGTAGAAAGGCAAATCTGCGACACACACACACGATCAAAACATAGCTTACAAGTTCGCACGTCCATGTGCTCGCCAACCACAGACCATATGAAAATGAGTAAGTAGTGCGAACGCGAACCTAGTTGCGCCGAGAGGAAAAAAAAAAAAAAAAAAAACGTCGAGCAGTGGCAGCTCAGGCGTCAGCGCAATAATTTCAGTGTGTTTTCCTAATACAATTATAAAAAAAACTGAGGTACACTAAAACTCATAAATAAACATAAAAAGTTGAGTGTAATTTTTATTTAGTGCTAGTCAACCTAAACACTGAATAAAAATTACTTTGTAACTTGCATCGTTTGCTACGCTAGCGCCACACTTCTCGTGCGGGCGCAGATGGCGCAGATTTGTCATTCTGCCCTCAACCTACACGGTGAAGCGTGCTACTAAGTGTATGGCTGATGAGAAGCGCGTCTGGGTCCGCTTTTTTTTTTTTTTTTTCTCCGATATATCTGGGCGGGGGGCTCCTTATGCACGTGTTTCGGTGCTTGATCGACTTTGACGCCCTTACTTCGCGGACGAACGCCGTGTCTAGGCTTTTTTTATTGTTGTTTTGCACGTGTTTCGGCGTTCGGTCCGCTTTGACGTGCCAACTCTCCATTCTGCTGCTGCGTGTGTTAGGTATTTGCCGTACTGTATTCTCAGGCCTTCTGTGTTCAGCCAGCGCTGCTATCTTATTATCTACGGATGCTAAAATAAATCTCTGTTTTGGTTTGTTGAAGCTTGGCACACAGAACAAACAATAATCTGGCCCATGAATATCAATGTAGGCGGCATGCATATTTGTGTGCGGTGTCCTGCCGGGGAGTAACCGTTGCGTGACGAGAGCATTTACAGCGGTTCCTCCTTCCGTTGCTCCCTTACAAACTTAAGATGAATACAGTTGCTCCCCCATTCTCGAACAAGTCGGCCATCTTGTTCCGCTTGGTCTTTTCGGAGAGTAACAGTCGGTCTGAAGGAGTAAAAACAGCCGTTGCTCCCATTTTGGCCATTTTTGGCTTAGAGTGTAACGCAAGGGTACAGGAGGTTACGTTATGAGATAAGCGTGCATAAAAGATCAACACAAGAGGGCAGTGTGACTGTAGTGGTTATCTAATGCTGCATCTGCGTCCCACAAAATGTTTGCTGTCTTCACCCAAGGCCATCAATACTTGGCAGCGCGCGTACGTCATGCGGAGGCTGTGTCACCGGCTGAAACCGGTGACGTGTTGTTTTCTCGTTCTTTCTCCCTTTTATCACGAAAACGATGCTTAGCCTTACGTTCTCAAGACCCCATTCCAACAATACCACAAAACGATGTAAAGCCATAATGGCAACATGAATATGCTATACTGTAGCATAATTGACGTCGACATTTTCTATTTTGCACAGGCAAGAGATTTGTTGCTATATAACGGGTCTTAAGGTCACAAAGGCACACTACTGTTTGTTAGGCTCCTCGTAGTGGATTCATTTGGTTCATTGTTAACCTGCGTTTGTTTGATAATGTGCACCCATAACGCGGCACGCGGGCGTTCTTACAATTTTTCCCCGTAAAGTAGCCGTTGCGATCGCGTAGGAATCGAACCATTAACCTCGTGTGCAGCAGCAGAACAAAATAGTGACTGAGCCAATGTCATAGTTGTTCATCTGTACGCAAAACCCCCCACAGAGTAATTATTCGGTTGGCAATGGGCTGACGAAATCATCATTATTCTTACTTCGTATGACTCACAGCTCGTACTTCTATGTCGACAGTGTAACTGTGCCATTAAGCAAGAAGCTCTCGCTGCCAGTTCAAAAGCATTTTAGCTGGCATGAGAACATGCAAATCACGCACACCGTTGTAAAGTATGACAGAGAAAGGCATGCAAGTTAATGTCGTGACGCCACGGTTCAAGATGCTGAAAGAGAATATTTCATTGATAATGCAGACATCATAGTGCACAATGCGTTTGCTAAATGGGGCAGACTTACTCCATTGAAAGCTTCTTCGAAAAGAGGCGATGGATGACCTCTTTCGGCACCATGGTTGACATTGTCGACGAATCTAACACGGCTTCGAAAAGCTTATGTATTCCGATCACGCACCAGAGCTGTAATGTCGAGAGCTATAGCGAATCCGGATTCGGTATCGTACCACAAGTCACACCAAGTTGCGAGCTTCCTGCAGTAACGCACTTCGATGATCGAGCAGGAAAATCACAATTCAGGCACTGCTGCAAGAACTGTCGTTCTCAATCACTTCGTATGCGACCGTTGGCGCAAATACGTAGCGCTGAGCTGCAGACTATAATGTAAATTGATGCCAAGAGAGAAAACCGGTGCACGATCGAAAAAATACAGTTGAGGGTTGCGCTGCTCTGCAGTGGGTTTGTTATCCAAGTAAATGGAGGCGAAAACGCTGTTCAACCAGGGAACGCGGCTGGCCTTAGATTTCACAGTCAATCGTCACAGCCTATTGCATCCGCTGTCACACTGTGCCGTAAAGTATTCACTGTACACAAAAGTGACACCAGAACTTCGCACAGCTCAATGCGAAGGGCGCGGTCTCCTCTTTTCGTGCAACAACGTCGGATGCTACGGTCACTGGCACGATCTTTATCAGACCGACGGGCGGATGTGCGCTTCCGACTTCTGCGAAGGCCACCACTGCTGCACTTCGGAGCACGCTACCGGCTCAAATTTGAAGAACTGCTTCGCAGACCAGACTGGAGACGCGTGCAGCAAGCATTGCCGCTCAGCCCTGTTCTCTCCGGCGTTCTCGGCGAGGCCGGTCGGATGGCGACCAGAATCAAGTGTCGCAGTGAATTGAAAGAGGGTGAGGGGGAACGGACTCGTGCCTATATTGCCGGGCGCTCCGACGCCGTCCGCTCTCAGCCAGAAGGGGCCCGCGTTCCGGATCAGCGTAGAGGCGCACAGTAAACGAGCCCCGATTGCCGCTGCAAATTGGAGACGCCGCGCTTTTCCTTTTCCCTGACAGCAGCAGCGACAAAATACAGCCGAGCCAGCAGCACAGCGGCGGTGGCTGCCGATAGCGCACCGCCGAGATGTCGTTGCCGCCTCGGCACGGACTGACTACACTCTGCCCGGGCGGCGTCGCCGTGCAACGCGAGTCCGATGCGGTGGAGTCTGATCTCTTCTGGCTGACTGTAGCGGGGAAGCGTATCAGGAGTTTGAGAGAGAGAGAGGTGAAAAAAATCCAGGCCTTCTGGGGTTTCTCCGGTTTCCTACCCAGAACAAGCCTTGTACACCCTCTCTGCTTCTTCAACGATCTTCCACGCAGAAGCCTTTCTCACTTTCGCGAACGTTCTTTCTCTTCTTTTTGTTTTCATCGCAGTTTTCTTTTTGCGTTCCGTTATATGCCTTATTCGAGGCTCGTGTGCGGAGTGCTCAAGTGCCCTCTTTCGGCACATCGTCGCTCCTGTAACCATAGTATACGCTAGTCTGATCACGTGCCCCACCTTCCTCCTCCCAACTCCGCTGGCATTTCGTTTCCGTACTTTACTTCTTTGGCGAATCTCAGGTTTCTTTCCGTCTTCTTCTTTCTTCTTTTTCCTTTCACGTATATTGCTAAGGCAAGCCGGAATGCATGAAAGAGGAGGGAAGGGAGGTCGTACGAGAGACGCTTCCAGGAGATCTGATATCGTCGAGTGTCCCATCTTTCTCCGACGGTTCTTCTCACTTTCGTAGCCCTTCCTTCGTGTTGTGATACGCATGAGCGAGTTGTGCATAATATGGGCACCCCGCTGCTTTTTTTTTTTCGTCACGCGTAATGCGGGGCAGCACGTCTCCAGAGATTTAGTCGACCGACGTGCTCGACACGCATGTCCACTAGTTCCTGCGAAGGAGCGCTTCATTCCCAGCACCTAAAGTGGTATTTATTTCACGGTCGCGGGCTGCAGCACCTCGTAGACATGACATGACCGCGGCAAGAAAAAGGTGCGGATGCTATGTACAGTGCGTGACCTACGCGATGCCGTCATACCTTACGCTCGTGGCACATCGCGGAAAGTGCCAGCGAGGCGAAGACGGGCGTTGACACTGGGCACACCAATGCACGTGATTTTCTTTAAGAAATAAAAAGACAAAAGAAAAAACAAAGAACCTGGGAGAAAGCAAGAGAAAGTACCACTATAACTGTCACGTGCGACTTGACATGCCGTCAACAACCTTGATATACGTTGTTGTTTTTTTCATGGCGTACGCGGCACTTGTGTGGCCAGTTTGACTTCTTGATTCCATCGCACCAGTACCCGTTGTTTTTACGGCTTAAAAAGTTTGACTTTACGCGAACACGAGAAAAGATTCAAAGGCCACGCGACTGCTAGTCCTCTTTGGTAAAGCTTGCAGCTTGAATGCTAAAGCGGAACTGAATGCCCCACTGTGAGCATTCCGTCCCATTAGACATCGAAGCTCGGGATTATGACAGAAAACACTGAAATCTTTTAGGAGCGAAGCTCCTCTTAGTCTAACCTTGATTTGATTGATTTGTGGGGCTTAACGTCTCAAAACCACCATATGTATATGAGAGCCGCCGTAGTGGAGGGCTCCGAAAAATTCGACCACCTGGGGTTCTTTAACGTGCACTAAAATCTGCGCACACGGGCCTACAACAATCCCGCCTTCAGTGGAAATGCTGCCCCCGAAACCGGGATTCGATCCCGTGATCTACGGGTCAGCAGCCGAGTACTTCAGGCCCTAGACCACCATGGCAGGGCTCTTAGTCTAATCTTGTCCCGCGTCAGGCGTAACCGGCAGTATGTCCCGAACAGTATAATAGATTGTGCTGTCTCATAGAAGTACATACAAACTGCAATTGATTAAACATATTCTAATGGCGCTGTACCACTACACTCAAATTGACTGCGGCGCTAGCTGTGCCAGGTTGCGCGGGGAACAAGTGCCTCTCTCAGTTTCCTGGATCGTCGCCGTACGGGTCGAACCATTAGTGGGGCATGGACGAAGTGGAGAGGCGGGCGTGGAGGTCCGCGGCGGCTCGTGCTCGTCGCCAGACAGACAGACAGACAGACAGACAGACAGACAGACAGACAGACAGACAGACAGACAGACAGACAGACAGACAGACAGACGGGCAGTGAGACAGACAAGACTGGCATACGGACAGACGGACTGGCATGCGGACAGACAGACTGGCTTACAGACAGACAGACAGGCAGACAGGCAGACAGACAAGGCTGGCATACGGACAGACAGGACTGGCATACGGACAGACAGGACTGGCATACGGACAGACAGACTGGCATACAGACAGACAGACAGACAGACAGACAGACAGACAGACAAGACTGGCATACGGAAAGACAGGACTGGCATACGGACAGACAGACTGGCATGCGGACAGACAGACTGGCATACAGACAGACAGACAGACATACAGACAGACAGACAGACAGACAGACAGACAGACAGACAGACGGGCAGTGAGACAGACAAGACTGGCATACGGACAGACAAGACTGGCATGCGGACAGACAGACTGGCATGCGGACAGACAGACTGGCTTACAGACAGACAGACTGGCATACAGACAGACAGGCAGACAGACAGACAGACAGACAGACAGACGGACAGTGAGACAGACGAGGCTGGCATACGGACAGACAGGACTGGCATACGGACAGACAGACTGGCATGCGGACAGACAGACTGGCATGCGGACAGACAGACTGGCATACAGACAGACAGACAGACAGACAGAGCAGATAGACAGACAAACCGACAGACCAACGGACAGACAGACGCACGGAAAGACGCACGGACGAACACATGGACAGACGCATGGACGGACGGATAACCCGATGCACGGACGAACGCGTGGACGGGCTGATGCACGGGTGGGCGGACGGGCGCTTCGCTCCACTCATTGTCATTCACTCCGTGAATATGCTGTGAATTTTTTTTGACGTGTTAGCGAGTACTGAGTAAAAAGGCACAGCGCTCTGAACGGTCAGACTAAGACAGACTAAGACAGCCGCCAGAACTGCTGGTTTGCAGAAAAGTTGCTTGGGGAGAGAGAGAGAGAGCAAGAGAAAAGCAAGGCAGCTAGATATATAGCAATGTCGGGTTTGTGGCCTTCGCTAAAGGAGGAGAGTCAGCACAATTAAATACGAAGGTACAAGAATACCAGAAGTACCAGAAGGTATTTTGAAACTATAGGCCACTTGGAAATTTATGGATAAGGTGCATTCTCCTGAACACCTTCAGTGAAGGTCATTGAAATCTACAATTCAGAGCTAGAAAAAATGGCGGATGAATAAAAAAATTACGGCATATTCACGGGGTGAATGATGATGAATGGACGAAGCTCCGGAGGGATTCATCGGTAAACTGCGAATCTTCCGTGTAATTCGCCCAGTCGATCATCATGTAAAGACGTGAGAAACACTGTGTGTGTATATACACAAATCAACTTTTATTTGTTCTTAGACGATGGATGGCTTGCGATGTCCCTTGCCTCGCGCGCTCGCACATCGGGATTCTGTCTGCGAGCGCGCGCTGCTGCCGCCTTGCGCTCTCTCCGCTCTGCAGCCTTATCCATCCGGTGACTCCGAGCGCGCGCCAACAACGAACGGATTTTATTACAACGCTCCCCCTAGCGTACGTCGCCGCACTAAATCGAACGATTGCCTTCAACCAATGACACGCGCCATATGTGACATCATTTCTATTTTATAAGATCTGGCGTCTTTCATCAACTACAAGTACCGCTTTCTAGTTTATAACATCTTGCATCTTTTCATCATCAGCTACAAGTACCACCATCTAGTAAACACTACAAGAACTAAACGAGAGGTGGCTACATACAGGAGATGGTACCGCCATCTAGTGAACACTGCAAGAACTAAACTAGAGGTGGCTACATACAGGGGACGGTACCGCCATCTAGTGAACACTGCAAGAACTAAACTAGAGGTGGCTACATACAGGCTACAGGGGACGCACAGCCCACGCCCTAAGGAGCTTCGCCCCTAAAAAAAACACGCCTGATTTCTCTTTATAAGAATCTGTATTACACCAAAATGAAACGTGTCCTCACAGAGGAAGTATAGCACTTATTGTGCGTTGTTTCTCCACAGGGGCGAAGGAATGAATGGTACAGCAACAAACTGCAACCTCGTGCGAAGAAGGGCAAGCAGCTCGGCGCTTGCAGAGCGCATCCCAAGAAGAAATGCACTAAATGAGTATACCCCGGGCGAGCGCGGGCAAACAACCGTCACAGCTTGACACTAAAAGAAAGCTACTTCAACAGAAAGACAGACGCATCAAACCAATGCAAAAGTATACTCATCACAAGCGCGAACATATGTCAGAATACTTACTTCGTCGCTTGTGAAGAGCGCGCTCCTTAGGCAGCCGCGGCAGCGAGCCAAGTGACCTTCGCACTCTCTCGCACTTCAAAGGAATCTCGGGGTGATTGACCGTGCCTGAGTACATTGACCACGTCATGTGGAGGCGCGCACGCTGTTATGCCAGCGAGTCCTCGTCAAACGACCGTGCCTCTGAAAAAGGCAATCTGGGTCAAGGCCAGCCCGCCGTCTGCCCGACGCGAACATCTCAACGGCGTGAACACGCGCGGCGCCTCTCTCGCCCACGTGCATTGAGTCATCGGCGCACGTGACAGCGAGCCGGCGTTCTCGTGCCTGGTGGTCTGACGCATGGCGCGGCGACCCCCATTGGCGGAATCTGCCCGGACGACCAGCGGCGCTTCTGATTGGACATTTTGGTTGGACCCGGTGTAAATAAAAGAAGCCCTGCGGCGCGTCGCGATCGGAGGTCCTAGGAGAGGAGTCCCCGTGTCGGAGTGCCGACATGTGTGTGAGTCAGCGGTCTTAGGCGAAGGGCTGACCTATGTGTTAGAGAAGAGAGCTCGGCTCTTCGAGTCTCTGTCGGCCCCAGTGCCGAAATTGTAACGCCTCTGTAAATATGCTGTACATAAACCTTGTTTAACTCACCGTCGTCTCGTCCGCTCGTCTTATCAGCTCTGCGCAGAAGCAGTCGCGAGCTGAGATACATACGCTACCAAACGGCTGGTGACCTTCCCGGCGGAGTTGAAAGCAGTGGCGCCTACAGGA